CAAAAATCAGAACATGAAGGAAAGGAGACGAGTACAAAATCAAAGTTGAGAAGAGAGGCATACCTTGGACCTCGAGATCCAACCTCTTTGATATCCCCAGGAGTCACAGACCTCCAAAGTCGCTCCTTGACCAAAGTCAAGTCAAAGCATTGACACCGAGCCACTACTAGAAGCAGAACAACTATATGGAGTTACAATCCCCGTAGAAGATCGCACTAGAGTCTCAACTCTTACAATGGTACAAGGGCTAGCTCTGGTACACACAGGAGTCACAATCTGAGAAGGAGTGGGGGCAACACCGGGTCCCATCTCGAGAGAAGCAACCTAGCCATCGAACCTTGACCGAGAAATACTAGAGGCATTAAACCTCACCCTCTTGGGAGGAGGGGAAGACACCACCCCAAAAGTGTAGAAAACCTCCACCATCGCCCTATCAACAGAGCGCGTGTAATTAGAGACAAGGTTAGTATAATAAACCAACATCGAGAAAACATAAAGAAAAAAGCAGGATTGGAGAAAAACGGGTTCGCCTCTTACCCAGTCAAAAGCCATCATAGTATCTCTACTTGGTAAAAATCCAGAATGCCAATTCGTCGCCCATGAATGCCTGACAGTCATCTGCCAGAACGCAACTTTCCACCATTGTCGGTTTCACTAATTTATGCTTAAAACTCAAATTCAGAGAGATAGAAGCATGTTTTGAGAAATTTTTTTGACCAAATTGCCTTTGGCAATTAACATGTCATAGATCTCGAAAAAATACCTAGATTCAACAAAAAATTTGCCTCAAATGGATAACTGAGCACAAAGTTACGGCCATGCAAAGTTTTGCCCTTTTTCATAGTTTTCTAATACTCCGACCAACACCCAGCGCCTGCAAGGCGTCGCCTTGCCTGACACTACTCCTGGCATCGCCCTAGTAGCCTCCTGGGCGCCGCCCTAGCTCGCTCTTGTCCCACCTCACTCCAGCACCTTAGGCATCACCCAGCTACCTAGGGGCGTCGCCCAATCCACTGTCGGCTATGTCCCTGCGCCTGCAAGGCATCGCCAACAGACCCTTCTACGCCATGAGCGTCGCCCGTCAACCTTTTTTGTCGTTGCCTGTGGTTGGTGTCACCCTACCCAACGCCTAGTCGGCGTCACCACCTCCCATATGTTGTTCACCTTCTTTGCTGAAGTAGCCTCCAGACGTGTCATGGGCGCCGCCAGCCTCTCCACCCCCATGGGCGTTGCCTAGGGCACACTAGGCGTCGCCTTCATTGCCTCCTCTGGCACTGCCATAAGGATCCTTGAGTGTCGCCTTTGGCTTTGCCATGGCGTCGCCTCGGGCTTCGCTTGAATTTGTCGAGGTGTTGCCTAGGGCTTCACCGAATTAGCCTAAGCACCTGATTCTGTCTACTATCCCCTTAACCGCCTTACTCGTCGACAGTGATCTCACCACACCTCTCTACACACTTTCTCTCTGCATGTTATTGTGCCACTCCTGGAACTAGCCTTGTCTCTCCCTCTCTCTTACTTTATTCCATCAATAAAGGTTCATCGGCCGCCGTAGCCATTTCTCGGAGTGGAGTAGGTTATCCAGATCGAACCACTATATATCTGTGTATTGACCCAGTATTTATCTTTTTTTCCATTGATTGCTTTATTAATTATCCATTAACTACACCTTATCACACACCCGACTGTTGATCTTGCACGAGACAATTTTGTGCATCATCATCCTCTATTCACGATGTCTTTATTTATTCTTATTTTGAGTTTCTGAGAACCACAAACCAGCCACAAATTGCTAAGCCTTCACCTATTGTTATCTCAACCCCAAGTAATTAGAGACGGAAAGGCTTTCAAATGTGTATCGGGCATATGAAACCATGGCAAGAACTTTTAACGTGGAGAAGGAAGCCGGTGAAGAATTTGCTACAATAAGAAATATGGCTGTGTTTCAAATAAGAGTGGTAATTTCTACCACAACCATTAAAACATGACTTAAAATCGACAAGAAATTAGTAGGTTAGGATTGATCATTTCTCGATATGAACCCACATATGACACAACCCGTTAATGTGAATAATAAATGGATTTGAATAATGTCAAATACGAACAACGCGAAACTGACACGATTAACACGTTTAAGTATTATTATAAGAATAAAATATATTTTTTATTATATTTTATCAAGTAGTGAACTAATTTTTATGCAAAAAAAGATATTTTTATTGATTTTTATTCTTATATTTATTAAGTTAAATTTTAATTTATTAAAAAAAATATAAGCATAGGTACGATTAAATGATAATGAAATTTAAGATATAAAACTAAGCGTTAAATTTTTTATTCACAAGTTATACAGATAAAACCCAATACGATTGTCATCCTAGTTTCAAAATGTGTGGCATCTTGTCTGATATGTTGGTCCAATATCAGACAGGATGCTACAACTTATTTTTTTACTTGGTTTCACCAAGAGCAAGCATTCTTTCTAGAGGAAAGAGTGGCATCTTCACTTTCCAATTTGAGTTCTGTTTACATAGTTCAATTTCTCATGCTATGTATAATGTTTTAGTGAAGGAATAGTCAAGTGGATGTCCATTTAAACGTAAGTCAGAATTGTAGCAAATTGTATGCACTGAAGTGAATGGGCATATGAAAAACATGTTTGGTAGTGCTTTTGATTAATTCCAGCATTTTTTTCTGATTTATCCCCCTTGAAATTCTCATTACATTAACAGCGTTAGAGAGCGGTTGGAGACAAACAAATGTCTGGCTCCCCATGTCTCTGTGTCGAAGTGGTTTGTCACCAGACCCACCTCTACGGTAGGAGTTTAATAAATAATGTAGTTCTTGTTGTATAGAAACACAATTACCACGATCAAAGTTGTCCTATGCATTCCACGCTCTTATATCTTACAACCCCAAATTGGGCATATTCACATCAGATCATCCAAAAAATGTTACCCCAAATTATAATATTTTTGTAACTGATCTTCATGAATACACATAGAATTTAGCAAAAAAGGGGGGAGAGAGAATATTACATAAGCAGTCATAAGTATGTACATATCGAATGAAGAGAATTTTCCTAAGCAGTCATAAGTAAGTACATATCAAAAAGAGAGAATTTTCCAAAGCATGTTTGCATTATACTGAAATTATGGTAGTTCAAAAGAAACAACAAAGATATTTTCAGCTTTTATCCTCTTCAGCTTCCATATCCAGAATTTGCTTCCTAAGTTTCGCCATTCCCTCGTACACATCTAGCAGATCTGTTGACTTGTCCATCAGCACACTTCTCGGTGTGTTTATCTCAATTTTGAGTTTACCTAAAGCTGTTAATGTGCAAGCATTGACTTGCTTTTCAGCTTCCTTACGTAATGCAAGCTCCACAGAATCCTTGTTTCAGGTTTGAGCTAGTCGAGTCCCTTCAAAATTCTCTCCTTAGAAGCAAGGGAAGAATGCCCAGGCAAAAATTCTCGCAGGAGTTGTACCCCACCATATCCATGTCCAAAGAGTGCGAGGGCAACAACAATTGCTCGCACATAAAATTTTCTCCTCACTGGGATTTCCACCATGCTCTTCATCAAGTCCTTGGTTTGGCTTGGAGTAAGAGCAGCCCTTTTAGCAACTATATTTTGCCACATACCTAGAATGGTTCTGCAAAAGAAATCAATACATTTTACTTCAAAACATAACAAGTAAACTTTTGGCAAGTAAAAATGATATGCAGTATTTTTTTCCCGGTAAGTAACATGGTTTCTATTAACTGAATCTCTATATTCAATTTAAATGTAGTAGTGTTGAGAAGTCTCCAATCTTTCATTCCAAATTTTTGAATTTTTGAGTTTTTTAGCCATGAAAATGCTTACTTGGCTTCTTATGATTGGTCCTTCCACCCTTTTTTACGTCATTTAATCGTTTTTTCTCAAAATAAGGACAAGTCTATATTTAAACTAATTGATAACTCCCACTTCTCATGTAACCTCCAGGTTTCCGACTGTTCAACTTTCCACTCATTCACGTCTCTCTCTCCATATTCACATATCTCCAACCTTTCTGACTATTCATGCATGGTATATTATATAGCAGGGAAGAGAGACAAACCAGAATGGAACCCTACTGTGTGTGATGTGCGTTGCTACGACATTTTTGCAATGTTGCTCCCATCTGTTCGTTGAGGGTAAGTTCCGATACATTCATGCACATGGTGAATTTGAGGGTAATGGTTGCATGGAGTAGGCTATGTTTCATATGTTGCCCACCCCCCGAGGAAGGGGGAGGCAGTAGGCAGACATGGTTTGGCTGAGGGGCTGGACTGTTGTGTTTGCAACTAGAGCTGGTGGGGGCTTGGAGCAATATCGATTGTGTTATGGAAAATCTTGAGAAGTTTTGTTATATCATTAGCAAAGCAAAAATGTAAAATCCCCTCCTCTTCATTTTTATAGAAAACACCATTTTATTAAAAGTAAAAAAATGAAGAGCAGAGATGGGTAAGTAGTCCAACCTAAATACAAACCATCGAAAAGCAGTACATAAAAAGGTAAAAAAAAAACCAAACCAAGAAAACAAGCTAATCAATCACAAGCCACCTTCCAGTTCACCAAGATTTCAAAAAGTGGAATATTTGCAAATTCCTTTGAAACCAAAGCACAAAAAAGAGTTGCAAAAGAGTGAATTCGGTTCCAAACCCCATCAAACTTTTCATACTTATCTTCAAAGATTCTTGAATTTCTCCCCAACCAAATCACCCAAATTATTGCATAGAAAGCACATCCCCAAAGAGTACTTCCTTTACTTCCCTTTCCAAAACCTTTATAATCCACAACCAACATTGTTGAAATTGTGAGAATCAAGAAAGAAAGAGGATCGAGATTACGATTGATCATAAGCATTTTAAAGTCAAGTTTGAAGGTTTGCATGGTGAACTTATTTGCATAACGGAATGGAATCGGTTTGGATATTTCTCATGCTTAGTGAATAGAAGTTGTGTGAGATGGTTGAAGGAGATGTTTTCTAAAGCTTTATCCAGGAATCAACAAGATATTTTCCTTAGAAAGTTTAGGAGGGATGAATATTGTATGTGGATGGAATTGGAAAATAGCAGGTTTGGGGAGTTTGCCAGGATTACACAAATGATGAATAATGGTAAAAGAAAGGGTTTGATTATTCCCCAAGGCTCCCAAGGCATTGGATGGAAAGGGTTTAGAGGATTAATGGAGGATGCTTTTTCAGGTGGAAGGAATACTCTGATACAAGAAGAAGAAAATCAAAGTCTGATGGTGGTATCAAAATGTAGAGTCAAAGAGCAAGAAAATGGGGCATGGGCTGAGATGCATAAGGAAAATACTCCTGCAAATGTTAAGGGGTATGAAAATATGCTTAAAGAAGAGGTTAAATGGAGGTGAGTTGTGGTATGTGTTAAAGCAAGTTCATTTGTGTACTCCCAGGCATGCTTAGTACAGGCTTTAAAAATAAAGATTCATCTACAGCCTTTCCAAGTAGACAGAGACATTTTTTTTCTACGAATGTTGAAGAAAACAAGAATGTTCAGTTAAAAGGAGAAAGGAATACTACAAGGGCGAAGGTAGTACGGAGATTTTGTGCATTGGGTGAAAGGTTGAAGATGAGAGTTGTTGAAACTAGCATATTGGAAAATAAATCAGCCAAAAATGAGCTGCAAACAAAGGGGGATTACGTGTCAATAGGAGAAAGACAAGGCCACAATAAATGCAAAGATTTGGTTTGATTGAAAAAAATTTTGATGACTTGATCAGTGCCATTAATCTTGCTGATTTCCAACAGAAAATATTTGACAAGGATAATTCAAATATGGAATGTAATTTGAATTCAAAATCTGAGTTAATTAAGGATAAGGCAGAGGAGATGGATCACGAAGGGTTTTGTTAAGGAAGAAAGGTGGGCTGAGATAAAGAAACAAATGGGCTGGAAACAAATGTTTTTACTAATGGGCTTGGTAAGGTGGGCCGTTTTAATTTAAGAGGGTTTTACAGAATTGTAGAGGCCTGGTCCACAAACGTTTGTTTGTTGGGGAGAGCTCAAATGATAGGGCTTTCTCACACAGGCAAAGGGGGGTCTCTCCATAGACGAAACAAAGGCTCTCCTCAAAGTCGAAAACTGATGATTATGGTTGCTGAAGCTAATCGTCGAGCAAAGGGGGGATTGGAGCTTCTGATAGGATCTCCTTAGCCAAGGCAGAGTTGACAAGGGGCAAAGGAAGTAGTGAAAAAGGGGCTATAGTGGGGGAGGAGATCTGCGATGGTTGGCAAAGCTAGAGGCAAGATTTTGTGGTCTGTTTCAACATTATGGATGGACAGAGACACATACATTTGATTTCAGAAGATGAAGAAGTTTGCTATAAGAACTTCTAAAGATATAAATTAGCAAATAAGGAAGTAAAAAAGATAGTTCGATATGCTACGTTAAAACTTACGATGGATTGTACAAAAAAACTAGATAGTAAATAGGGAGAAAGAGACATTTATAAACTAGCTAAAATTAGAGAAAGGAAAACAAAAGAATTTAACCAAGTTAAGTGCATCAATGGCGAAGACTCAAAGGCGAAAGGCTATTTTAAGAAACTATTAAATAAAAATCACTTAGGAAACTTAGAAGAAATAGAAAATGGTAGGATTCATGAAACATTCTTTTGTAAGATAAAGAATTCGGAGGTAGAATTTGCATTGAAGAAAATGAAATTAGGCAAGGCTTTAGGACCGGATGAGATTCCAATTGAAGTTTGGAAGTGCTTAGGGAATGATGGGGTGTTGTGGCTAACAAAATTATTCAATAGAATTATTGGTACTAAAAAAATGCCTAATGAATGGAGAAAGAGTATTTTAGTACCTATCTATAAAAATAAAAGAGATATTCAAAATTGTAATAAATATAGAGGGATAAAATTGATAAGTCATACAATGAAACTATGAAAAATGGTCATTGAACGTCGCCTAAGAGTTGAGAATACAGTCTCCGAAAATCAGTTTGGGTTTATGCCTAATAGATCAATTACAGAAGCTATATATTTATTGAGGACACTCATAGAAAAATATAGAGAGAAGAAGAAAAATCTCCATATGGTATTTATAGATTTAGAAAAGGGGTATGATAAAGTGTCTAGAAATGTAATATGTAGGGTGCTTGAGAGAAAAAGAGTAATGAATAGATATAGAAGTTATAAAGGATATGTATGACGGAGTTATAACTACAATTAGATCTTCCGTAAGAGAAAGTAAAGAGTTTCCAATCACGGTGGGATTACACCAAGGATTGACCCTAAGTCCATACCTACCTCACTAGGCCCATTCAAGATGATGTCCCACGACATATAGTATTTACAGATGATATTGTATTAGTAGATGAAACTCGAAGGGGGATTAACAATAAGCTAAAAATTTGGAGAGAGATATTCGAGTCTAAAGGGTTTAAAATAAGTATGAGTAAAACTGAATATATGCAATGCAATTTTAATAATAGAAGAAGTAGACATAGTGAAAAAGTTAAGATTGAAAATCAAGAAATACCAATGAATAAACGATTTAAATATTCTAGGATTGATCATTAAAAATGATGAAGAGATTGGAGATGATGTAACTCATAGAATTAATGCCAGTTGGCTTAAGTGGAGAAAAACCTCAGGCATATTAGGTGATAGAAAGATACCAATAAAATTGAAAGGTAAGTTTTATCTAACAACTATAAGGATAGCAATGTTGAATGGGACAAAATATTGGGTTACTGGAAAACAACATAGTGACAAAATGAGTAGCGAAAATGAGAATGTTATGGTAGATGTGTGAAAAAACTAGAAAGCATAGAATATGAAATAATCCTATTAGATAAATGGTAGGAATAGCTCAGGCACTAGTTCGAAAAAGTTATAGAATTTCTCTTAATAGTACTAAAAGTAAGGATAATTCTAAATTAACATTGAAAAAAATAATAAAAAAATATTTAACTTAAATGGGTGTATAGCACATGATAGAAATGAATGGCGAAGACAAACTCATATAGCCGACCTAAAATGATTGGGACATAAGTCTTGGATTGGTTTGGTTTGGTTACAAATATTGCAGCGATGCTATGCTTGCTGCGAGAGAGTGGTATGACAATGCTGAGTTGGAGAAGAGTTTGGAGGATTCATTATATTGCTATGATATTGATAACGAGAGAAAGATACAGACTGATGAGGTATATGGTGATATTGCGAGAATGTTTACCGATGATAAGTTGATATCTGTTCAAGAAGAAGGTAATATGATACTCCATCACGAATCTAAGGTAATTTGCAATGTTTTTCCTTGTACTTTAGAAGGTAATATTTCCCAAAAAAAACCACTGATGGTTTCTCCTAGGGCTGTTCTTTTTTCCGGGGACGGGCGTGTCAATGTCGGTGTTCATTTTGGTGATTTTAATGTTTCAAGGGGTGGGAGTGTCAATATCCGTATTGGTTCTGGGTCTGATTGTGTTGCTGGAATGACATGGAATTAAGTGAGAAAATGGCGATGTTATCTTCAGTGAAGTATGGGTATAGGAAAGAATTGGTTTCCACAAAATGTGATGTAGCTAATTCAGGTCCATGGGGAGAATAGACATTTGCGGTGTCTGTGTGAACCTGGTTTATTAGGTGTTCCACTTATTACTACCTGTGATCCAATATATTCAAAATTGATGATAGATATCCCATAATTAATGTTGGTCCAATGAACTCTGATGTAGTGACAACTAGAGCTATAGTGAGCTTCGAGGGTGAAAGGAGTACAGAGGGAATCGAGGAAGGAGATAGGGATAATAATGAATGTGTTTTGTCGGATGAGGGAAAATGGGTTGTTTTAAAGAATTTTTTATATAAAATGGATTTGTCTCTAGCTCCATCAAAAAAGGGGGGGGGGGGAGCAAAAAAAATAATGTACTGAGCTTTGAGGGTGAACTCTGATGCCGTGACAACTGGGGGAAATAGTGAGCTTTAAGGGTGAAAGGAATAGAGAGGGAATAGGTGAGAGATGTAGGGCTAATATAATGAATGTGTTTTGTCGGACGTGGAAAAATGGGTTGTGTTAAAGAATTTTTTATATAAAATGGATTTGTCTCTAGTTCCATAAAAAAAACAAGGGAAGCAAAAAAATGAATGCAGAAATGAGAGGAAGAGAAAGGGAGTGGGAGAGTTAAAAAATTTAGAGTTAGGGATAAATTATGAGGGTGATAGTTGTAAGAAAGGTGGGGGAGGGATCTATGTAGTTTCTTATAAAGATTGTTAAGTTGGAATGCCAGAGGATTAGGGTCATGTGCGAAAAGGTTTTCAATGGAGGAGTTTTTGGGAAGAATTGGGACAGATATAGTTACTTTACAAGAAACAAAGTTGGAGGTCATTGATAAGAGTCTTTAGTAGTGTTTGTGGTCTAGGTTCTAGAACTGGGTTTTTCTATTTTTTGTCGGAGTACACGTGGTATTGTCATCATTCGGGACAAGAGATCTATAAGCATTGAAGAAACTCTTGAGTGGGAATTTACTGTTTCAATTAGGGTTAAGCAGGGAGGGCTATGGCTGGTGGTTTACTGGTATTTATGGGCCTAACCAGCCTAGGATTAGGGTCTCATTGTGGAAAAAATTAGGGCTATATGGGGTGTGAGGTCATAGATGGTGTATAGGGGGATATTTTAATGTTACAAGGTATCCAAGGGAGAGGATGAATGGGGGGGAGAACAACAAAAAATATTGAAAGATTTTGATTCTTTTATTAGGGAAACCAAGCTTAGGGATGCTACTTCTTGCTCCAGCATGAAAGTTCCATTTTCAAGGAAGGACAACGTCCTATGATACTTTCTGTTTTGTCCAGCCCTGCTTTGGTCTTTGGTTTGATGGTTGTATGTGCTAAAAATCCGGTACATTCAGTTTTGCTTCCTATCCCAGTCTTTTGCAACACTTCATGTTTACTTCTTTTGTTAGGTCCCCCTTTCGCAAATGGAGTGTTTACAGATTATAGGACAGACCAAACCATACTTCTATCAACCCCTCCTCCTCCTCCCCCCCCCCCCCCCCCCCAACACATAAAAATTACTAAGGAAAAAAATAAATCATAAGCATTTTAAATAGAAACTATCATATGCACTAAAATATATGCTAAAGAAATGGTCACGTAGACATGAAAGAAAACAAACTTGTATGTCCTCCAAAGGTATGCACATATGTCCTCCCTTTTAAAAACTCTAAAGTTGTGTCATTAGAACTTGCATTACCATTAACAACAATTCACATAAGTCATTCCTATTCAAAGTATAATTTGATAATTGTGAGAAATCTTAAGCAAAGGACATAAGTTGATCATTGAGATTATAGGAAAGATACTTAAGAACTTCAAGATTCAAGACAAAAAAGAGAAGAAAAAAACTAACACACTCATACCTTATATCAATCAAAATTATGTTCACCTGTAAAAAACTCACCCACAAGGTAACTTCTTCACTACTTAGATTGCTGCATTGTAAGTCTCCCAAATTACAAGAAGTTGTTGTCTGCTCCTTTGTCTTAATGTACTGGAATAAATAGGGAATATCTAACCTCGTGACATAGTAGTTAAACGATATGAAAATTTTAAGGAACAAAAAACTGTAAGGAAATAATTGGCAATAGAGGAGTCACATACCTGAAATGATGACTAGTCAACCAATCATAGGAAAGACCAAACCATATTTCTATCTCCTCCTCCTCCTCTTCCTCCCGACAAACAATTACTAAGAAAAAATATAAATCGTAATTATTTTAAACAAAAACTATCGTATGCAATAAAATATATGTAAAGAAAATAGTCACATAGACAAGCAAGAAAACGAAACCGTGTGTCCTACGAAGGTATGCACACATGTCCTCCCTTTTCAAACCTATAAAATTGTCACTAGAACTTGTCTTATCATTGACAAGAATCCATGTCAATTATTCTTATCCAAAGTATAGTTTGATAACTATAAGAAATCTTAAGCAAATGATTTAAGTTGATCATTGAGGAAGACACTTAAGAACTTCGAGGTCCAACGCAAAAAAGATAAGTAAGAAAAAAGTTTTTTTTTTTTTTGCAAAATAAGGTTCATTTGTAACAAACTCGCCTGAACGCAGGGTATATAATTTGTAAGTGTATACACATTTACTTATGTATCGAGAATCAACACATAAATGCTCCTTACTAACCTTGACTAGCGTCTTGCAGTACTTAGTCTTCGGTGGCTACCTCTTTCTTGAGATCGGTGAGTTTTCCATCACTCTTTAACCAAATATAAGAAACTCACTTTTTGATGAAACAGCCTGACAGATGATCTAAATGAACCCAAATGAACCCACAAGGCAAAACATACTTGCTTTCGAAAATCAACCAATTCCATTCAAGAATTCTTAAACAAAGGTACCAAGGCATCCACTTCTAGAAGTGAACAGCTTGATAAGCCCTTGTGTGGCCGTCCCTGCATCAGGCGAAACTCAAAAATTGTTACAACGGGGTCATAAAAAATGGGGTCAATTCCAAAACCCGTAAACAAGTCAAGAACATTAAAAAAGTCATATAGTAACAATGATACACATAATAAAAATATAAGCATGGACACATAAGGAGGCACATATACATTGAAACAAACACTTCGATAACATAAAAATAATAGAATAATAACCACACACACACGTTACACACATCAAAACACAAAAAACACTCGAGATAATAAAGATACAAACACACTATCACAAAAACATACATACAGATACACTATCATAAAAACATACACACCAAAATAAACATTGTGCAAATAAAAATGCACATAAAAACACATTGATTAAAAGAATACACATACACTAATGAAAGCACACACCCCCCTTAAATCAAAAAACATACGCACACTACTTATTCAAAAAATATGCACACTAACTCACCAAAATCACGCACAGACATGCACATACTATTACACAAAAACACGCATGTGCGCAAACCATCACTGAAACAAACACACATACACACACTAATCCATACAAACCACACACGCTATTTTAACAAACACTAATACACCAAAAAACACACATAATGCATCAAAAAACATAGACACAAACACAAACAAAACACACACACACACACTAATACACCATCCCAAATCACACACGCCAACAAATACACCATTCAAAACGTACAAACATACAACACGCAATAATACACCAACAAATACACAGATTGATGCACCTAAACACACACACATTCACAAAAATGCATACATTTCATCTCATGTAGTGTTAACATGAGCTAATCCACCAAAATCAAGGACACTAACATACAATAACACATGCTATTACACGAACATAAATGCACGCACTAATACGCTAAAAAAACACACATTAATACACCAAAACAAATAAACACACACAGAGACACACTAGCTAATCAGTATAGGCATGCACATCCACACAGTGTTTACACACGAATATTCCAAAAAAACACATACTAACACAATAAAAACACCCTATTATAGAAACACAAATTAACACATACAGTAATATACCAAAAAAAATCCAAAAACATATGCTCTGTTCACACACTAATACACCAAAGAAACAGACACACTTAAGTTTTGCCCAACAGTGCCAAAGCTTGGGGAACAAGGCTAGCCGGACCCTTGGTACCCCTCAACTATCTTTACCCCACAATATATGTTTTGTGGAGGTTTTCCAAAGCGACTTAAGCGGACATCTTCTGAACCGAGGAAAATAACCACCCGAGCCTAGGGCATAACGCCTAGACTTTTGTCGAACACCTTAGCTATATAGCCTTGCTTTGAATTCAAGGGGTGTCATTGTGCAAGACGCCACCCAGACACGTCCATTTCAGCGCCCAAGTCAACTACGGTCAGAAAACTAGTGTCCTTTTGTCATAAGTTGCAAATTTAAAGATCATTTAGAATATGATAATTAAATCAAGTTTTTTACTACCAGTCAAAACTTTCAAACAACCACCACAATTATTAAGAAAGCACATTATTAATATTTAAAAATGAAAACTAGAACATCTACTCAAAGATATTCAAAAGAAATGGTCATGTAGACATGCAAGAAGTCGACCTATATGCTCCAAAAATATGTGTAGAGTTGTGTCACTTGAACCTGGATTACCATAAACAAAAACCGCCATTGTTCATTAGGATCCCAACCAACATGGTGTAGGACCTGCAAGTTTCAACATCAGTGTCTTTATAGTTGAATAACTGCAAGAAATCTTAAGCAAAAGATGGAAATTGGGGATGATAATTAAGAACTTCACAACAAGAGAAGAAAATAAAACGCTAACAAAATCAATACCATACAAAACCCAAAGAAAAATCTACACCTTTCACAAGCCACCGCTTGGATTGGTGCTTTATGATCCTCCCAAATTTAAATAGGTTGGTCTTTCCTCCATCATCTTTAAGCGACTGCACTCAACAACTAAGAAAAAAAAAATCATAAGCATTTTAAGTAAAAACTACCAT